CAAGGCTTTCCAAAATAATGATCATTTTACATAATTACTTATTTGAAATAAAACATTTAGATTATGAATTTCCTTGGGTAAAAGATTCTCAGTTGTGACAAACAACAGACTGTCTATACATTGTCTGTTTGAAAATCCTGTTCTCTGTTGTGTTAACAGAAAAGAAAGGAAAAAAAAAGTGCTGTTCTCTCTCTTCCCTCCCCGCCCCCTCCCCCTTCTTTCTCCTAGGATGGAGGTTGTTACGGAGATCTATTTTGTAAAGCACTGAAAACATACAATATGCTTTGTTTTGGAATTTATCGATTAAGAGATGCACACCTAAGTACCCCCAGTCAATGCACTAAACGGTAAGTCCAATCGTTTAGAATATCTCTGTGTCACTGTTCTTCAGTCTTCTCCGTGAGGAAGATCCAATGCCTGTAATAAATCTAAAAAAGAGCTGTCTTCGTTTCTCACACAACTTTGCCACCAAAGCTAACTCTTTGAGGACTTCATGATGACTCTTTAGCTGAGTTTAAATCATAGGCTGGACATTATAGCATAAGTTTTCTGCTAATTTTAATAAAAAAATTTTAAAGCAAATTTTCAGAACACATCTTTATCTTGTTTGATTTATGATGATGCACTGCTTGCATACAAGGAAAGGAATTCAGTCTTCTTATATTAATCATCTGTAAGTTACTGGATGATAATTTAGATCATAGTAGCTAGACTTTCTTTTTTTCTGAATGCTCAAAAAATACTACTGTGGGCTTCCTGTTGGTACTATTTGTATCTAATCATCATTTCTTCCAGTAAATGGAAACCCTTCTCTTGATAGGCTGCATTTTTACTTCAGTAGCACCAAGACTGACCTCAGTGCTTTAAATAGAGCAGACACATTTCCATTTTTGCAAACTGAAAGCCATTTAGCAGCTTACTTTAAATGTGTCTTAATTAAGTGCCTACACACAGACCCATACCAGAACTATCACAAATCTACCATCTGTTACTGTCTCATTTTCTACAAAAAGCATCATTATTGGGTGAACAGGGTGATAAACAACCCTGCAGCCCACCAAAGTGGTTTCTTCTGTAAGGATTTGGACAAATTGGGTAGAAAAAATGATTTTAAGTTTAGATTTAAACTATACTTACTATACTTGGGATTATTCATTGGATTAATAAGTGACTGTCCCTGAGACGGCTAAGCCAGATTTCTTATGAGCACTGAATTAATTGGAAATGAAGTTGTGAGCTTCGTGATCAATTTTTACTCATTTGTTGCTTGTACAGAAAATGCCCATTGCCTTGCTCAAATATGTTTTTCATATGCACGAAAAAATTTAGCAGCAGGGTCTAGAAGCCCTTCCTACCCTTAAAGGGGGTTAGTTGAAGAATGGGGATTCATGTAATAGAGTTTTTATTTCAGGACTGGGATGTATACTTAGCGATACTGGATTCTCGGATATGCAGATTTCTCTTTAGAAATACTCTTTGAGGCCATGAATGTACATGTGGAAAGAACGAATAAAAAAAAAATAACCTCACTGCAAATTTGCTGACTTATTTTCCTTAACTTGTTTCATATACAGTCACAATCCAAAAAAATAATTATATCCCTTGGTCTATTGACAGTATTTAAATATTTAATAAATGTATAGTAAATATGTATTTAATTAAAACTGCACCCAAAATCCTCCTCTCCCTGCTTTACAGCCCTTCTTTTAAATACCATTGCTGGTGGGTATGTTACTGGGTTTTGTCAATATGTAAATGTTTGCTAGAGTCATTGCATTACGGTGTAGCAAAAGAAAGGAGGGTGATTTGTATGGTGTCTTTTATGAAAAATCATTATGTGATTCACTTGCATAACATCTTACTCAGACAGTATGTCTGTGCAACAGAAAACATACAAAAAGTAATATCTGACATAAGAAGATCCTAAATCATACTGGGTATTATGTGAGCTAGAATTAGGTACACACTGAAGGAAACAGAAATGCAAAAATCTGGGTAAACGTTCATAACAACTCTAGAAGATTTTTTTTTTTTATACAAATCTAAACCTATTTTCTTTCTTTCTTTTCTTTCTTCCTTTCTTTCCAGTTATGTTATCACAAACCCACCATATGAATTTGAGCTTGTGCCGACAGACTTGATCTTCTGTTTGATGCAATTTGACCACAATGCTGGCCAGTCACGGGCCAGTCTTTCTCATTCCTCCCATTCCTCCTATTCTTCCAGCAAGAAGAGCTCATCAGTTCACTCCATCCCATCAACAGCAAACCGACCGAACCGCACCAAGACCAGGGACTCCCGGGAAAAACAGAAGTATGTGCAGGAAGATAGACTTTGATATGTGTACCTGCTCCCACTGTGTGTGAAACTTGCATTCACCACCCATTTTCCCCTGGTTAATGTTTCCAGAAGTAATGTTCCCTGTTTTCCCATGGAGTTCTCCCTTTTTGTACACATATTTTGCATATGTATGACAGTGTGCATGTGATTGTCATTTTTATTTCACCACCATAAAACCCTTAAGCACAACAGCAACAAAGCAGACGGACCAAAAGTTATTTATGATGTTAGGGGAGAAAAAAAAATTCTAAATCCATAGGCACACTGAAAACATAAATAACTCACTGCAGTTATTCTACATATCAGAAAACAGAGTATATTTAACATGAACACTTGCTCTTGATGTCAGAGTTACACAAAGAAAGTCATTTAGTGCAGAAGAGTTGATGTATGTTGCAGTAGGTATTTTTGTATTCATATTTACAGGAGTTGCTACATTTATTTGAAGCTTATAAAACTAACTCATTGGGAAAAAACATCTCTACTGATTTTTCACTCTCAAAGCTTATATTGTATAGGGCTTACACTCTTTGTATAGATTATTGCTACGCACCTGCTTTATACCAAAGCAACATCAGGGACTTTCCTGCTTGTTTAAGGACTTTCTCTAAAATACTAGCCTTTTGGAGATACTGTCTTTTCCCTTTAACACTGAAATTGTCTGGGCATGGAGTTGTAAAACTCCAATGGTTGAATTTAAGTTTAGAAAAAGTCTAATTGCATATTAAATTATTATTCTGTCTATTTATACTGCCACATGAATAGCTATATTTTCTTTCACTTTTGACATTTGGGATAAAAAGCCATATGTATCATAAATATTGGATGTAAGTCATTAAAAACTGCCTTCCTGGGACTTTTACGTCTTTAAAAGGTGAATTAGTCACCTTATGTACAGAATAAATAATGTTCAGAAAAGAGCAAGCATTTTTCTATGCTTAAGTATCAGATCTCGAGGGACTTTTTTCCTTTCCCCAAATGGTAGTTTAACTTTTCCAAGTTAGAGTGGTGGTATAAATCTTCTAACAAGAGTCCTAGTATGTGAAGATCCTCCAGAAATTTCCATGTTCTAGCTCGTTCTTTTCAACAGATACATGCCATTCTGCAGTATGCAGGAATATAGAGGAAGACAGCTGAGTGCCTTTAAGGTCTTTCCCATTTGGGAGGAAAAGGTGCTGTGCCCTAGACAGCTAATGAGCAGAACAAGAGGGCTGGGGTGGAAATACTCATTGTATTCAAGCATCATGTTCTAGGTACTTGCAGACTCTCACCGATAACACACCTAGCCAAACAGAAATTGTGACAGGGAATTAAATAAACTAGTGGAAAGGAACCTATCCTAGACAGTCATAGAAATTATTCTTCAAGCTTGTGAGTTTTTTTTTTTTAATTTCAAATGCCAACCTTTTGAAATATAGAACAAGTTCTAGGTGGTATGAAGAGTGTCCCAGGGTAGGTTCCTGGCTACCCAGCAAGAAGATATGCAGACAGAAAATAAATATTTGGATGTGGAAGTGATTAGCATTGTAACTGCCAACCCAGACAAGGTGCTTTTATGGTTAGTGTTGTTTTCTACCTTCCCCTTCCCCAAGCATGATAATTTTGAAGAGTTGCTTGCTGTGTGAATTGACAATGAAGCCAAGCACTTTTACTGACAAAACCTGGAACCATCTAAGTGGGCTACAGAGAGTACCACTGTGCAGTGTTAAGCATAACGATTGGAATACAGTATATATATATATGTGTGTGCATTCAAATGCAGCTGTAAGTCCTATCAGTGAAATACATTGCAAATTATGGATGCTGCTCTACAAATGAGTGGATTACAGTTGCTCTTCATCATAAAGACAAATTCATATGTTTCTTTTTGCAAAGAAAGTTACCATGTTTTGCCCTAAGAATATTTATTACTACAAGGATGTGCCAGTTAAAGTGCTCAACAGGAAAAATGACAGTTTAAAAGCATTGTAAAACTTACATAGCTTACTTCTTTTTCTAAAGTGCAACAAGGATGAATAGAATGGGCCAAGGTATGACAATTAATGGTTCTGCATGACCTAGCAACTGCTGTGGGTTTCCTTCTATAACTTTGTCCTTGTGAAAATTTGTGAAATTAAAAAAAGCAATAGTTACAAACTTTATTCAGTTATTGGTTTGTTTGTTTGGTTGGTTGTTTTGTTGGTTTTCTTTTGCCTTTTTTTTCCCTCCAAACCAGAAGTAAAACTGGCTGCTGCTGCTGCTGCTGTTGCTCAACCCTGCTTTATTTTTTATCCTCTCATCTGCTTGCCTTTCTAATTGCACGTGTTCTTTTGTAAACACCCAGGTTCCTGCTCAATGAAGATACCTACCCTGGTGCAGACATTACTTTAATTTCCCATTCCTCATTCCAATTCCAATTCCTTCCTTCCCCTCCCTACTCCCTTGTCCCCCGTGTATGTTCACAAGCATCTTTTTATGTTGGCAATATTGACTGAAGATAGTTGAGAGAAGTTATGCATTTTGGAAGAATGTTAATGGCTTTGACACCAAAATGCTTTTCCATTAATGTTTTATCTGTTTTCCATTTAGCAGAGGAAGGAAGGGTGTTAATATGAAGCCACTTGTCACATACTACATATTGATTTTATCCAAAAAAAATAGTGTTTGTATACCTGTGCAGCTCAAATAGAAAAAATACAGTGTACATTAGAGAAGCAACTTGTCTACTTTGTGAGCAACGGAAGAGGAATATCTAATATGGATGCAAATCTGAATTCTTCAAATCATATCGAAGTCTAATTCTGCTCCATCTTGTGTCCTGAAGTTGGAAGTCTTAAAGTTTTGACTTTCAGTTATATCATGTGCAATTTTCACTGCTAACTATAGTCAAATTGATCAAATAGTTTATTACAGTGGTGAAGATTTTCTGAAATGGATATACTAATGAAATTGAGAGGTTAGTCATTACAAGCAGAGGAATCTTTAAATCAGCTGTATTGTATTGACAATTTTTTTTCTGTATTGAAAAGTAAAAGGAAATCTCCTGTTTGTTCAGAAACCTATCCCAAGTCAAATATTCTTAGTAACTATGCTTGTTAGTTTTTGATAGTGGAAAAGCAGCACCAATGTCAAGAGATGACATTTTAGAGCCTTAAATGGGGGTCCTGCCACTTCTATCAGTCTCAGCATGATTTCGACAATGGAAACTAGGTTCTCAGTAACTTTGTTGATCTGAGTGTTGACATAAAATCACATCTAGCAAACCTGCAGGTTCTTGCCACGGGTTCCCACTGACCTAAACTGGCAGACTCAGGCATTTTCCAGTGAAATTCCCATTGTCCAAAGAAATAATTTTGCTGGTTTAAAAAATAAAAAATCAACAAGAGCGAGTTCAGAATAGCATTTTGCCCCAAAACTTTAATTGCCTTGGAGCAAAATAAAGACCTTCACAGAAAGTAAGAATAGTTCTTCTCTCTCTTCCTGCAAAATACTTACTGCCTGCTACATGCAAAATATTCATCTACCAAACAAAGAATTGCTGAGCAGGTGGGTGGAGAAACATTCATGACTTTTTTTTTCATACAAGAAGAAACTGCATGGGAGAATTTTCAACTTAGCTATGAACAAGCTGCCTGTGTGGGGTGGGGGGGAGACACACACACACATACATACAGACCAGTTGGAACTGCAAGTGTCGCAAAGAAAAAAAAAAAGCATGTTTAAAACAATTGTAAAGTAACCTGGGATTATGATGAGCATACAGATTTAGTGAATCTTTTTCTCATGTTTAGCTAGTACTTTCTTTGCCTCTGCTCAGAAGAGAGGGTATTTCACAGACACATTTATTCAAATGTGATTACTCAGTCCACAATTAATGATACAAATTTTAAAGCACCAGAACAATAAATCTGTTAAAGAGAATTGCTTACACAATTCTCTACAAGTCTTACACAAGTTGAAGAAATCAGTATTTTGATAATTTTAAATTAATTATTTATATCTTTTTATGCTTCTGGGAACAGTCTTACACAAGGTGTTAATTTTTATTTGTTGGTAATAAGAGCATGAAGCCTTTAGAACCTTCACAGACACACTGGGATGCTGATAGCCCATTGCAAAGACAGGTGTTTGAGAGGAAAGTAAATGTTTTCTTCTTTCCCATGCATGAAGTTACTTAAGTGTTCCAACATCTCTCAGGTGATGCTGTCAAAAACAAACCTGTCAAATAGCATAGAAAAATCGGGGACTCTCTTGAACAGCTCTTACAGCTCTTAAATAAATAGAAAACTATACCTGTTCTATGTTTGTAACATAGAAACACATATGGTAAGGATCAACATGCATATGCCAAAAGGGAGAGAAACAGACAGAACATGACAGAGAATAGAAAAAAGTTGGTGAATATAAAAATGTATAAAGACTTAAAAAAGAGTTTTCGGGACTGATTTAAAGGAAAGAGTAAGTAGTTTGTTTGAGATACGTAAAAATCTGTACTAAGACTTTGGAAGACATATCAAAGTCAGATTGTGAGCATAACAAAAACTATTGAAAAGTATATAAGGGATTCAAGAAGGACATTTAGTAACTAGGAGCAGAATATCTTAGAGGCCAAGAGTAAAGATGAGGAGTGTCAAGCTCACATTTCAAAGGTAAGTGTAGAGGTTGATGGACTTTCACAGGAGATTCATCATTATGTGATCAAAGACAATTTTAACAGCAGAAAAGGAACAGGAAAGGTATAAAGCTGGGTCCAAGCATTTGATGCTAGAGATAATAATGCTTAGATCAAGGTTTCAGCTCTGGCAAAAGAAATTTAAACAGCAAAAGAAATTAGAATCTACCAGTTTCTGCATTTATTATTTATTTTCTGTATTTATTACTTGCCAGGTAAAGGCAAAAAGAGACTTGATGGTGTCTTTTTAAAGAACAGCTCTCTGGATATGAGTTTTATTGTAAAGATTAACATATTGCCTTGTTTTGAAAATTCCAGGGAAAGCAGGGGAGATGAAAGTGCTTTCACTGGCTGCTGAGAAACACAGTGCAGTTCATCCCTGATCCTTAGCACTCACGTAGTTCTCCCTTTTCTTACTACGAGATTGCATTAACTTGCACCAAGTTCTGTTTGTAAGGAAAGTTTGTGCACCATATGTTAAGAAAGAAGGTAGAGATAAAAGTTCACAGTGCTTAACTTGCCTCAAAATCATCTTAAACACAAACCATTAGAAAACTGTTAGTTTGAAATTGTTTATGTGATCTTGCAAGGCTTTTAAACATGATAACCATCACACTTTACACCTCTCTGAAAGGTTAGTTTAATCGTAGATCACATAAAATTGGTTTCCACAAATGCATAATGGTTCATGTGTCACACTTGAACTAAATGGTTTTTTAAATGGAGCTGAAATTATTTTGATGTGTACACATTTCCAGATTTTTTTTCCTACAACCTTTCTTAAACCAGCCCCCATCAGGAACCATTCCCTTAAAGTCTCATTAATAATTCAGATGTTCTGATGACTTTAAAAGATCTATGGAATTGAGGCTTTTTTTTTTTTTTTTAACTGCTTGACAAAAAGATAAATGAATGTAGAAAGAAGCAGTAGGAGTCTGGCAAGCTGTAGATCATCTCTGAACAGATTGTAACTTTATCATTCTGTCAGGAAGAATAATTTAAAGCACTTAATCAGTTAGCTTCAGTGTGCAGGATGTAACATTATGAATTCCTATCGTCCAATCTGTTCAAATCAAAGGGAACTTAATTATAATAGGTAAGAGAGAGAGAGAGAGATGGGAGATTGAACATTGTTCAGACTCAGGCAACTTTAAAGGGGGCAGGGAACTAGTTACCCTGATCTCAAATGAGTAGGATATTTTAAAAAGAAGAAAAATACCTTTTAGAAAATGGCAAGAAAAGCAATACAGTAGTTCTGTTACCTTCAGGAATAAGCCACTAATGATTAATACAATTCCTTTTCTTCAATTTAAATTTTTTGAAAAGCATAAGCATAGGTAAGAAATATATCTGAAACAGCCCCCCCCCTCAAAAAAAAAAAAAAAAGATGGGTTAAACCCTCATGAATTTGGGATTTGTTGTTGGAGGGTGGGGGTATTGCATGTAGATGCTCATGATCCATATCAAGTAAAAGTCTTTAAATTTCATATTCATAAAAATGGCTGAGAAGTAATTCTCGAAATCAATCCACTGCTTTAAAGGACCTAACTTCAAAGCTAGTTGCTTATTTTTCATATATTTATGCCCAGATATTTGTCCTTTATTCTTTCTGGTCTTCCAGTTTCAATTTTCTACTTCACCTCCTAAGCTTTTGTGCTCAGTCCTTGAGTTTCTGAGGCGGATTTTGTTTTGCTTATTTTTATTTATTTAAAATGAGCACTCCTTCCACTCCAGCCCTGATTCCAGCCCACATACAGCAGCATTTCAGTGGTAAGCAAAAGTGACAGTTTGTATAATGCAGGGAGACACTAAAGCTTCTGAAGTGTTTTGGGTTCCCCATTGGAATGAGAATTAGTACATACATGTAAGAGCAGCAGTTCTGACGTGGCACACGTTAAACTTCACATGTAATAATGAAAATGTCCTAGTCGTGGAAACCCATCCCCAGAACCATTTGAGCCCACTGCTCTGTACAACCACCTCTGGAATTTGGGGAAGGAGAGTGAGAATGGAGACCCCTGTTCACAAATGCTTGTCAAAGCACAAGCACCTAATGGCCATAAGCCACTAAAAGACCAGGAGTTTCTAATTCTTTGAATAGAGCTATCTTGTAAAGTTGCACACCTGTAATGAAGAAATGACAGCAGTTATTGCTCTCTAAAGGCTTAAGAAAATGCTTTTAATTTTCCTTTCTTTTGTGAATTTTAAGAAGTTTTTACCCACATCTGCATATGAACAATACAATGAAGTGGTTACAATCATAAGCACCTAGGGAAAGGCTGCAGTGCTGCAGCCTCTCAGCATCCTCACTCCCCCCCACATTGCTCGCAGCCCACCCTAAATCCATACCATAGAATTCTTCCTATGTTCATGGAAACAGACACTGGCCAAAGATATAAAAGGAACAGCTTCCCCTCTTCCTTTAAGTCTTGCTTCCTTTGTCTTGCTGCCACGTGGCGCTACCGATCCATTCAGGATTAACTTGAGCCCCTACTACAGTCATCTGCATCATCAGGTATGTTCCACACCACTTCTCAAACTGGGGAGTTCAGTGGTGCCCAAGCAGCCAGGTTGCTGAGTAGCAATATAGTGGCTGTCCCTTGCAGGAACACAGCCAACTGGCAGCATGAATGCAAGCCCAATTATTTTAGCACCAATGACAGAAAGTTCATCTGTACGTTCTCCTACATGATTTCCAAGCCAGCGGTAGCAAACACCTCAAGGCTGAACTGGTTCAGAGAAGACTCTGATTCTCTAGGCGCTCCTCTGTGTATGGACTCACATGCTCTTTTCCACATTATCCTTATCTCATCTGCTCTCCCTGGCTTCTCGGGTTAGCCTTTTGTTTGTATCATTTTTTCAAGAAATGAATCAGAAGGTGCTCACTTGAGCATGAAAAAAAAAGATCTCTCTTACATTCAACAAGCAAACTAGCATATTGACAATTTTCTTTAGCTTCTACTATCAAATCTGCAAACATGTCATCCTGCTTTCATGAAGAGTATTTTCAGAGGTATTAATCTAACGCACTGTACTGCTAGTAATTAGTCAAAGTCACCTTCTATTGATTGCTTTTTCTCTATATACTTTACTGACTGCTTCCCCTCTCCTTTTTTTTTTTTTTTTACTGTTTATGTGTATATGTGCTTCACTAATTAAAACTCTTATTTTCCCTCCTTATTCTGTCTCTACCCATTTTGCTCCTTAGCAGAAAAGAAATGGTTTACAGATGAGCCGGATAATGCCTATCCCAGAAACATTCAAATCAAGCCCATGAGCACTCACATGGCCAATCAGATCAATCAATATAAATCGACAAGCAGCTTGATACCACCAATCAGAGAAGTCGAAGATGAATGTTGACTCCTTCGAGACCAGAACTATTTTTTTAAAGCCTGACAAACTTCATGAATGGTGATGTGACATTTATTCCTCTTACATGCTGAACCACTGATGGAGAAGTTAAGAAGGGCAAGCTTAATGGAAAATAAAGTAGACATCTTTGTTTGTCTGCCTTTAATATTGCTTCCACGTATTTTGGAAACTATTTCATTTATAAATGAACATAATCAAAACTAGTCATGTATAGCCTCTAGCGTTTTAAATTATTTTTATTTATTAGAAAAAATATATTTTTCTTTTTTTTTTTTCATTGTCAAGTATTTTCCCTTAAAAAAAAAATGCATATGTGGCCAGACTCCTAAGAATTTTAAAAAAACAAACCTCAGTCTTTGGCTTAAAGGAGAATGATGGTCACAGTTATAAGGACATGTAATTAAGGGAGACAAATGACATATTTACAAAAAGGAAAAAAGGTCCAACTTGTATTTTAATAAATCAAAAAAAAGAAAAAAAACCAGTTCACCAAAATGTTTCTTTACTGAAGGATGTGTATTTTGTTCAGCATTGACACCAGCTCTTAATAAATGGAACTTATTTATTTTCAAAGTTGAAAGTCATATTTTTATACATGTAACATTCTTCTGAAATATTCTTTGTTTTATTACCATATACAGCTCATCTTAATTGCCAGTTATGTTATGGTCCAACCACCCCCCCCCACGCGCCTGGCCCCCCCAGCCACACACACACCCCCAGAGAAGCCCAGCATCCTCAATAACTTTCTGTGATGCTAGCGTAGTGAACATCACTACCCTGAACAGAGGGCCATGTAGATAAGGTGCTCATAGGCAGCACTTGTTAATGGCAAATCTGGAAATACCACTCCAACAGTTGCCAACTTCAGGAAGGCAAGTTTGGCAATTCCTCTTCTTTTGCCACACATTACAGTGTTTTAATCCAGAATGCATAAATAGTGCATGAAATGATCAGTTATAAACCTTCTCATCTACCATATTTTGTTGGTGGGTTCCTTACTTAAAAGTGCTGATGGCCTGGCATCGGTCTTGTTTATTTGGTTCAAACTCTTCCTGATATGTATAGCGGTTTAGCTCCAGATCTTTGCACTTTGATGACAGCTCATACCTTGGTGAAAGGCACACTGAATCTCCTTTTCATGAGATCAGATCAGGAGAAAAACTGGTTTAGCCTCAGCTTTATAATCCCACAACATGCTTTTCTCAGTTAATTCCTGCACTGAGCAACATCCTATTTTAGGAATTGCTTTTTTTTTTTTTTCTCTTTAATGTATTTTCACTTTGCTGGGACACCACACATAAAAGTACAGTAATAACCAAATCAAAATGAAAGTAATGAATGTATTTATTATGATAACTTACAAAAGGCCTTTGATGGGTGCCTTTTGTGTCAGTTGTTTCACAAAGTTGCCAACAAGCTTTATAGCCATCAGAGAAAAATGTGATGTTTCATATCTGTGCTGCAGTATCTATCCACCCAAGCATTTGATATTTTAAATGATCTAGTAACTCTCTCGATCTCAAATTAGCGACATCTGACACAACTGTGTAAAGAAAAAAAAAAATATAGTAACGAAAAGGCTGTGTTAATAAGGATTAAAACAAAAACATAGGACCCAATCATCAGGAAAGGCAGATTTTCATTGTGCAAGTTAACTTTAGGCTTTGTAATTTTGCGGAATTGTTAAACACCACAATAAAACATACTGTGGTACTTTTATCATTAGAGAAATATCAGTGAATCAAACAAATACAAAGCAAAGCAGATGAATTTATTGTGAAAACAATGATGTCCACTATATAATCCAACATTTAAGATAAACTATCTCAGCTTTAATGTTTGTCCACTGGCTGCAGTACAAATATAACCATTCTAACACCTAATAGGCTTTATTCTGGAGTGACTTCTTGGACTGTGACTACTTTGTTGTTGCATTTTGTAGAATAGCTATTTAAAGACAATAACAAGATTTGTTACTACAGTATCTGTAAAATTCGATTGTTTAAAATATTTCACTCTCCTACAAAGTAACAAAACAATTTAAGCAGTTTTTCATTACCATTAGACTATGTTTAACCCATTTCACAGTCCCGAAAACAGAAGATGATTCTGGTGAGTTCTTCCAATCTATGCTGCTTCAGCTAGTGACATGTTATAATCTACATCCAGTTTCTGCATTGGGTCGTGTTAAGCCTTTACTTTGAAGTCAGTGCTCCTTTTTCATTTATGAACTACATTCATTTATAATATGAGTGAAAAAAGCTGGTCCTGAGTACAGGAGAATTTTTTTAATTTGTGTTCAACTTCACCCATGTGATTAATTTTTTTTTTTCTTAGAAGACTGGTGTTCACTGTAAGGGCATAGAACATTATATCTTATACTTCATCATATACAGTGCCATTTCTGAGTGTCCTTCCTTCAGAAGTGATCATTCACTGGAAAAAACATACTAATGAATCAAATACAACACTTCTACATAGCTGAGGTTTGTGTGTGTCTCTGTCCAGTCTAACTGTCACACCCAAAAATATCATGCCTCCAACTGCACATAAATAAAGGACAAGATCTGAATACACTCACACACTTTCCCAGCACAGATAGTTCCCTATGTAAGGATAGAGAGACAGAACACCACCTGCAGAGAGCGAGATGAAGAGAAACAGGTATAGTTATGGTTTTGTGTTTCCCATTTATAGAAAAGCTAAGAGCAATCAATAATCTTTTCTTCCTCTTCTCTTTGATGACCAAAGATGCAGGATTGAATTTTGGCAATTAGATGGAGGAAAATGTAGAAAAACCTGTTGGAGATCTTTGACGTTGAGCTATTAAAGACTACAACAAGGCCAGCACCAATATTTGGCTATATGAAGTTACTTCAAAGCAAGTGGCCTAAGTGACAGCTGATGGATCACGATGACTGATGTAGAAATAAGTTTTTGATCTTTATTAATAATTCATACTCCTTTCTCAAAACACAACAAAAGGGGAAAAATAAAAAAAGGCATTTCAGCTTTTTCATTAATTGCATGCACAATTAATACAGGCTAAACTAATGAATTGAATAGAGAGTGTGTCTGTCTGTGTGTATATATGTCCACATATACGCATGTCCACACACATATTTATGGGGATGTCTATGTATTTGACAGAGAATAATCACAAGAAAGTGGTCTTTTTTTTTTTTTTTGGAGAGGATAGAGTGAAGAAAGACACAAAGAAAAAGATTTATGACTTAAAGGCTAGCACATGGAAGAATTGTTCCTACTGTTTCCTCCTGGTTTGACCAAAAAGTAGCTGTTCCTGTCAGTTATATTAGCGGTGCACTGACAGTGCTCTGCAGAAACCTTCCTTGCTGCTGAAGCCAGCATGTGCTCCTGGACCCTCCTCACATCCCTTCCCACATTGTCAGAAAGGCTGCTGTCTTGTGGCTATTATTTTATTTTGCCCCCTGAAGCCCATGAGCATTAAGCTGAAAAACTAAAACTGGTCTCCAGGGTTGTTGTTTCAGTAGCAAGGGCCAAGCATAGCAAAAGTTAAGGTGTAAAGAAAAAAAGATGTTCAGAGTCTAAATGCAATTTTTTAAGGCCTCAACATGACTGTCTCACTGTTACTTGTAAGATGACAAGTGTACGATGTATTTATTAAAAGGAAAAAAGCTGCAAACATTCCCTGGTACTTTTCAAAAACTTTCTGAAGCTGTCACCTCCGTCTTAACAACTCTTCCTCTTTCAAATCAGCATCAATGGCTAAACAGTAGGAAGTGTATGTGGTGAAAAGTACAAACCCCTTGATCTGGGGCATGATCAGTTATACAGGTTCATGGACAATGCTGTTATTCCACTTATAACCCAAAGGGACCCTGCAAATCCTGCTAGCCCCACAGCCAGGAGTGTAGAGACAGAGAAAGCACGCGGTGAGAGGTCCTCAAGTCAATTTAAGCACGGGGCTATTTCCAATTCATTTTTGAAGCGAAAGCCCATGCTGCTTATACAAGGTGAACCATGAGCTTCAGGATAATGAGGATCCCCTGTAACCTTATTAAAGCAACACGTCTAAAAAGAGCTAATGAGTCTTCAGCAGCTTACAAGTTGCTGTAGCAGCTGGGGCTGTACAGGAAGCCAGATTTGGCCACACTAAAATTCTGCCCCGCCCCCCCAAAGTTTTGCATTTTAAAGAAAAAGGCCATCTAATGACTAATGACTCAGGCAGCATGGGTGTGAAAAGACTTTATTGGCCTCAGTCAAATGTGGAAAAGGGGAAAGGTAATTTACATGTAATATGCAAGATGCACTACAAAAGTATTGTCTATAGCCTTTTATTAGAAGTTGTTGGGTGGTAGCGGGTGAAGTGGGATTTTTTTGGCCAATGTAAGGAACATATTTGTATTTCTTGAACACTTCACAGAGTAGGAGAAGAAGGGGAAAGTGTAATAGCATGTTCTCATGCCGAGAAGACTGTTTTTTGTTGGGGTTTTTTGTGTGTGTGAGTGTCTGTAAACGACATCTAACAACTACTGCAATAATTGGATGCATAAACTAATGCATGACAAAAAAGCAATAATTTACAAATGGGTAATCATGCATGTTTTCACTGCTCGGACACTCACCTGCAAATCCATAACCATGTTAAGAACTTCCCTGTTCAGGGAAGTCAGCTAGGCTGACTCACATGGCCTCAAAGTTAAACACAGAGCAGGTGCTTAAATGTTTTATGAAGCATGCTCGTAAGGGCTTCTAGACCCCAATGTATTTGAAATGAACACATATTGGCATCTGGGGGGGTGTGTAGCATTTTGTTTTTCAAGCTGTTATCATTGTGAGTTTCTTTAGCACCAAAAGAAGTGTGTGTCTCACCTTTCATTTCTAGTTTTAAATGTGTTTAAACAAAATAACCAAGTGTGTGAAAGGTGATGAACAGGACAATGTGAAAACAGAAATCCTTTCCCTGTGATTGCCCTGGGAATATCTATCAAAGTCAATGGCAG